CTCTGGGGTCAGGTGCTTGGATTGCTCACCTTGGGCATGTGTTCTCTTTTGCTAACAAATCCCAGAGGGCAGTGTGGTGTCAGGGCGATGCTGGCAGAGCCTCTGTTTTAGGGTCTCTGGTCAAGAGGTATTCGGGTTGGCCTGAAAAAGGAATTAGCACCACATCGATTGTAATAATAGTGGTACTTTCTGCTTACATGATCCATTTCCTTCTTAGTACGGAGTTCGTAGTCCCAGCTTTATGTATTTAGAAATAGTAACTGATTTTTCTATAGGCAAAAAATACTGCACATTTATTTACATAAACTACCTAAAGCTTAGTGGCTAAATACAACTATTATATTTCATTCTTCTCTGGATAGAGTGAGCTCGGCTGGGCAGTTTTCACATAAGGTTTCATCATTCCGCTGCAGGCAGATACGACTAGGAGCTGTGGTCCGCTCAGTGCTTGGCTGGGCTAGGCGTGGCGTCTCAGACGGACTGCTTACTGCATTATCTCCTTGGGGCCTCTCCTTGCAGCTTGAGCTTTTCACAGCATGGCAGCAGGATTCTGAGAGGGAACTTCCCAAGGACATGTATTCCGAGAGGCAAGAAGCAGAAGCTGCCAGACTCGTTAAGAACTGCACCTAGAACCGGGCCTCACGCACTGCTGTCACGTTTAATCAGAGCAGTGTCAGGGCCTGCCTTGATTCAGGAGTGTGAAGAAATAGACTAAATAGACTCCATGTTATACAGGAGAAGTGTCAAGGTCACATTTTTGTAGAAGAGCACTTGTGATGGGAGATAGCATAGTCATCTTCGGAAAATATAAAATACAATGTTAGAAACTCTTGATTTAGAAAAACTGTGTAAAGCCTAAAAAGACTATATTAGTATATTCTTACATAAATATATATATATGTCTTATGAGTATGTTGTGTGTATGTCTATACACATACACATAAATATACATATATGTACATACATACATATACACACGTATATGTGATATTTCAGTATCAGTGTACATTACACAGTTGACTGCTGGACAACACAGAGGTTAGGGGTGCTGACGCCTGGCGTAATCTAAAATTCATATATAACTTCGACTCCCCCAAAATGTAGTCATTCCTCAGTATCTGCAGTTGGCGGGTTCCAAGATTCCCTGTGGATACCAAAATCTGTAGATGCTCAAGTCCCCTTTAAAAATGACAAAGATCAATGCATTCAGTCAGCCCTCCGCATCCACAGATTACCAACCACGGATTGAAAACAATATAGGTATTGAAAAAGTCTCCATATAAGTAGACTTGCATAGTTCAGAGCCATGTCGTTTAAGGGTCAAATGTACTTGCTTAAAAAAAAGTACACAAAAAGGAACTCTCATACAATGCTAGTGGGAATGTAAATTGGTACAGCACATAGAAAGCAGTATGGAGGGTCCTCAAAAAATTAAGCATAGAATTGCCATATGACCCAGCAATCCCTCTCCTGGATATCTACCTCCAAAATTTGAAAACATTTATCTGTAAAGCCGTATGCACCTCGACGTTCACTGCAGCATTATTCATGGTGGCCAAGACATGGAAACAACTGAATTGTCCTTTGATAGGTGATTGGATAAAGAAGATGTGGTACATATACACAATGGAATATTACTCAGCCCTAAGAAAATATGAAATACTGCCATTTGCGACAACATGGATGGATCTTGAGATTATTGTGCTAATAAGCAAAATAAGTCAGGCAGAAAAAGTTGCAAACCATATGATTTTACTTATATGTGGGATAGAAAACTGATAGAAACAAACGAATAAGACAAAAACTCATAGATACACTACAGTTCAGTGGTTGCCAGAGGGAAAAGGGGGAGGGAGAGGGAGGTACATAAGGGTAAAGAGGGTCAAATATTTGGCGACGGAAGGAGATTTGACTTTGGGCGCTGAACACAATGCGATATACAGATGATGCATTATTGAATTGTCTACTTGAAACCTTTATAATTTTATTAACCAATGTCACCCCAATGCATTTAACAAAAAACACAACCTTTTAATTAATGTTCACAAATCGCAAAGCCATCTGGCAGTTGAACCACTTTCCTCTGCTGATTCGTGTCACCGCTCCCTGTGAAACTTTTACGTCGTCTGTTTTCAAACCTCTAACGCCCACTCTCACTTCGCTTACTCTCAGCGGAGGACCTCGCCTTTCATTTCCTTGAGACTAAAGCAACCAGAGGAAAACTTTAGTTCTCCTGTCACCAAATTTCCAGCTACCCGAGTCATTACCCATATTGTATGCCTTTCCTCTCTGTGGTAATATATAGAGGTTCCAGCCCAAGCAAAACCTTCTCTTTTTACCTGGGACCCACCTCTTCTTGGCTACTCAAGAATTTAACACTTGCATCATCAAGTTTTCTCTCTCTGCTGGCTCATTCCCTTCAGCATACAAATAGCCCGAAATTTTTTCCCTTGGCCACACAACCCTGTTCTACTACCCTATTTCTTTGCTTTCAATTACTAAAATTGCTACAAAAGAGTTGTCTGTGCTTTGTCTCCATTCCCTCCTCTTTTAAAAATTATATATAGTTGATATACATTATTAGTTTCAGGTGTACAATATAGTGATTTGACAGCTGTATACCTTACGTTGTGATCACCACACTAAATCTAGTAAGCATCTGTCACCATGCAATTATCTCAGTATTATTCACTATATTCCCCTTAACCTTTTCTACCCATCCCCTGACTCCCTTCCCCTTTGATCTATTTCTATGAGTTCAAAGCGCATCTCTAATTTATTAGCACATCTTGACAGTGCTACCTACAAAACATGTCGAAACTCTAAACCCTAAAATTTGTATCACCATTCTTACCTTTATCCATCCATTCAATCATCATTCTGTGGATCGTTGCAATAAATAGCTTCCTGACTGGAAGCCCTGCTTTCTTCTTTGCCTTTTCATGGTTTATTCTCCATAGAGCACTCAGAGTGATGCTTTCAAGATTTAAGTCATATCACATCACTTTCTGCTGCAAATTTACAGTGGCTTTTTATCTTGCTTGGAATAAAAGCCAAAGCCCTTAACGGAGCTTACAAAGGCTGCCTCATCTGCTCCCCGTTTCCTCTCTGACAGCATCATCACCACTCTCCCCCTTTTCACTCTGCTCCAGGTGCACTGACCTCTCTGTTCTCCGTGAACACGCTAAGTCACACTTCCACATCAAGGCATTTGCTCTGGCTGTGTTTTTATGCCTCTAAAACTTCCCCAGTTTTGCCAAATGCTGTCACCTTATTTCATTCATATTTCTATTCTGCTCAAAGTTCAGCTGCCAAAGAAGCCTTTCCCTGAGCACCCTACTTGAAGCACTATCTCCTCCCATGCCCCAGCGAACCCACCCTTGGCTGTCCACTATTCCATTTTAATTTTTTTCTTAGTACTTATCACCACCATCATTTATTTATTTTCCTATGGTCTTTCTCTGCAGTCTAGAATGAAAGCATCACGGGAGTAGGGACTTTTTGATCACAGCAAAGTGATAGCCAGGTTTGTCGTGTGAATTAATAAATGCTTGTATATGTATACAGTAGATTATCATATGTGGTTTGATGGGAAAATCACAATTTCTTCTATTTTAAACTTGGGTAGTCTTGTTTTATCAAAACCACATTGGCTTTATTGCTTATCTTTAAGATCTCAGTTTGCCAGATGATGCAGTTTGCTTAGGCCTTGTTGCTTTTTGAGCTGGCAAGAATTCTTAAGTTCTGCCCTTCTGCCGGCATCGTGTACCATCACGGTGCTTAACTTTTCTTCATGTTTATCGACTGAAGGAAAGACAGGATGCCACTGAAATGATGTGGTTAGAGGGCATGATTCCTAAGGTTCTAGTTATTTTCTTCAGGATGGACCTTTAAAAGTCTAATGGTCCATTAGAAGATTTCTCAGTAGTATATTTTGGACATTTTAATAAGATCACTACCTCCTAAAAACATTAGCTGATTCTACTGGTTGCAGTTTGCTTTATAATTAATTTGATTTATAGTCACTTGAATCAAGCTTATTTTGACAAGCGTCATTTTAGAAGTTTTAGATAGAGACTTGACTGACAAGTCAAGGTTGATCTGTCTTTAAAAGCATTCTTTATAGATAAGTTATATTCCAAGAATTTTAATTATCATATGCAGTTAAAATTCTCTTTAACAGACACAGAAACCTAAAAATTCCAAGTTAAGATTTCACTCGTGAGCAAATAAGACTTTAGTTTAACTAAAGTCTGTATTCTTAAGTATCTCTTTTTGCTCAAGCATCTGCTGTCATGGCACTTAAATTTTTTACTTGTAAGTATAAAGCCATATGATGTCCATCATTAAGTTCATTAAGAGGTTCCCACTAAGTCTTAATAAGGTGACACTTTTTATTAAACCGAAAAGAGAAGAAATTTATCGTGTGATATTAAGGACACATACTGTTTACAGAAGCTAATTAAAGCTAGATGAGGCCTGGAAACTTGGAGAGATTCTCACTCCAGAGACTTCAGCTTTGTATTGAAACCTCAGTTCTTTCAAAATAGGGCAGGTGATTTTCTCTCTCCCTCCACCAACTTAAGTACTCCTCTTGGAGAAACCAGAGATACTGCTGGGCGGTTGAAGTATTTGTTGTTACAGACGTAGTAACCTCTGTCAGAGAAGACTGCTCTAGGTTCCTGTGTAACTTTCTGTTCCAAGTAAGTTTAGTAACTTTGATTTACTGGAAAATGAGTAAGTCCAGGATGCAGTGGAGAGAAACAGTACTCTGCATGATCCAGATCTTTTATATTACTTTTTAGATGTCACTATGCAGAGATTTACAGACAATATGAACTAAGAACTTTAAGATTCTTAAATAAGCTTCTCTTTACATTGCCTTTTTTAGAGGTTCAGAGAAATAAGCACTTTTCATAGTTTAACTATTTCTCTTTCTTTTTTCATTCCCTTTTCATATCCCATTTTTATTTCACCCAACACCAAAAATGCCCTTTCAGAAACACAAAGTAGATCTTTTCTACAAGCTACGCCATGTGATGAATGAGCTTATTGACCTGCGAAGGCAGCTACTGTCTGGTCACCTGACTCAGGATCAGGTGCGGGAGGTTAAGCGGCACATCACCGTGCGCCTGGACTGGGGTAATGAGTAAGTATGACATCATTTGGGCATCTCTCAGTTCCATTTATGGTAACTCAGTACTCATGGAGTTTGTACATGCTGATCGAAGCTTCTCTTTAGTGATTAAAAGACATTATATTCTCTACTAAGCTTTGATCATTTTTACTATGAGTAGTTGTTTCTTTTAGTTTAGCAAAAGACACTCACTAGTTCTACTCACTAAACTCTCCCAGCCTCCGTTTGTCACTTCTGGAAAATCAAATTAGACCACATTGTGCTCTAAGGTCTTTCCCAGCTCAAATTCCTTGATTCTAGACATCAGTAATCAGAATAAGCTTTTGTTTCATCTTTAAGACCTTTTAAAAAATGTGAATTTGGTGTCCTTTACGTTTTATATCCATACAATGAATCTGAATAAGCATATACCATAAATGGGAACTTCTGCATCTGTACTTCAGAATATTTTTAACTAATTAATTTGTCATTCAAAAAGAGTCCTGCAGTGGGTATGATGATTTTGCTATTGCCGTACAAGTTAAACTTTAAGACTTTCGTGTGGGCAGCTACAGTAAATACTATTCAGATTTTACTTCTTCCTAGACTTAATAATTGATATAATTCTCAGGTGCTTTTGTGTCATTCTTTTAAAATCAGGTCCATTGAACTTTGAAGTGACCAGGTTGCTTTCTATTTAAGAAACACATACACTTAAGTATATTAGTATAAGTCTTTAGCTTCTCTCCCTCTCAAGACATTGTTGAAATGATAGAAAGTAAAAAGAATGGGTCGGGGCCCAGCAATAAAGAGATCTATGAAACCATTTCTACAAGCTGGAAAGTAGATGGAGGATTAGTGACGGAGGAAGCCCAGTATGTGAAGATGAAATTTTACCTAATGAAGGAGCTAATCTGCTTTGTAGTTCCCAGAATTATGGAGGGTGGGAGTGAGCCTTTGAGCTTAAACAAGGGGAATTGCTTAAAAATATGTAAAAAGAATAACGGACTGCCATGAGAGAATGCCCGACAGCCAGATATTTCCCCTTCAGACAAACAAATAGCAAAGACCAAACTGCCTTGGGGGAAATGGGGCAACGAAAGTGTGAACTGGGACCCTGTTGCAGAGCCTTCCATATTGCGGCATTTAAGGGTTTCAGGGTGTAATGACTAGATCTCATCCACTCGCCAGAAAGAAAAGCGGACTAGTCACCCACCCGTGTACAAAAAACTCCCCGCACTTCTAATGCATTTTTAAATCTGAATGGACAATTGAGTATTATTAAATATTTGAAGAAATCCTTCCATAGGGAAGAGACAGAGACCAGGATAAACAAAATACCTTGCAGATGATTGGATAAAGAAGTTATGGTTCATATATACAATGGAATGTTAGCCATAAAAAATGAAATCCTACCATTTGCGATGACATGGATGGACCTAGAGGTTATTATGCTGAGTGAAATAAGTCAGGGAAAAATAAATACCATATGATTTCACTTGTATGCAGAATCTAAGGAACAAAAAGAACAAACCAAAAAGAGACTCACAAATATAGAGGAGAATCTTGTGATGGTCAGAGTGGGGAGGCTGGGAGAAAGAGGTTAAAGATGGGAAATGGTTGAGGGGGTAAAGAAGTACAAATTATTAGTTGATAGAGGGTCACGGGGATGGGGAGCATGGCATAGGAGTGCGGTCAGCAGTAATATAATGGCTGGGTGGAGGGCCGGCGGGAAGATAGAGCAATTGGGGGAATCGTTTCATAAACTATACAAATGTCTAACTGATGTACTGCATGCTTGAAACTAATGATAAAATTTAAAAAAATACCTTGCCCCAGAGGAAATAACCTGGCCACATAGAGAATTAGAGATTAGTGAAGAACTTTTAAAAATCTCTGAGTATCCTTTAAGAGAATCGGGAAGATCCATTACGTAGAATAAAATGCTATGAAAAGGAATAGAGAATGTGATTTCCAAAATAAAATATTTAGGAAGGGAATAGGAAGATAATTTTGTTATATCTAGGAAAATAAAAAGGTGAGAAATGGTTGAAGAAAAAGAGCAATACAGAGGTTCGATCCATGGGTCCAACATCGGACATTATAATTTCCAGGAAAAAAAAAAGGCAGTGAAGAAGAAATGCTAAAGAAATGATAGACAAGAATTTCTCAGAGCCAAAGAACTAGGAGTCTCAGGGTGGAAAGGGCCCATCAAATACCTAATGTAATGGCGGGGAGGGGAATCCCAAAACCTACAGCAAGGCACATTAAGATACTTCAGTGTCCCAGGGATGAGATGATCCTAAAAGGTTTTCAGACGGAAAAACAGTCTTTTTACAAAAGTATAAGAATCACGTTGGCCTCAAAAGTTTTATCAGTAACACTAGACGTTACAATTTAATGAAATAATATCTTCGAAATTTTGTTTGGCTATGATTTGCCAGCAAGAACTTCATAAACAACCAAACTATCTAATCAAGTGTAAGGGCCAAATAAAGCCAGTGTGAAGTACATGAGGTCTCAGAAGTTCTGTTTCATGGCCCCTGAGAAGGGATTTGAGAATGTTCCTGCAGAAGGAGAAGGGCAGATCAGGAAAGTGGAAACAGAATCCAACAAACAGTGGAGCCACCCCAGAGTGGTACTGTTCATCAGGAGAAAGGAAATAAGTACAACCCTGCATTGGCTAGTCGTGACCTTTTGAAGTGACGATTCCTGTTCTTGTTTGCTTAAATTAGATTACACCCTGTCTTGACTGTTAATAGTGTTGCTTGGCACATGCCAGAGACTCCTCATATGATACAACGTAGATTCAGGTATACCATAGATCAGACGATGTTCTCTAAATCTAACTTTGGGCAATAAAAATCTTAGTAAAATACAGTATGTTAACTTACTGTAGTTACTGAGCCTATCTCCTCGGCCCCGAACGGTATTATGTTATAAAGTGGTATCTTTAAATTTATTTAAAAAATCGATGCTAGTAATAATTTCATAACATTACTGTGTGCCAAGCAAATCGTTATACTTGAACTGATGAAACTAACAGTTGTATAGTCGTTATATTACAGTTTAGCAGCAACTACATACCAGTAAACAAAGAAGATACTATTTTAGTAATATCGATACCTCTTTATAATAAAACTTGGAAAAAAGACCAGATTTTGCAATCAAATCTGAAAACTTAAAGATGATAGCTTGGAAACAAGTTCAAATTATAATTTGAAAAAGGTTAAGACCATTATAAATACCTATCTGTAAATTATAGAGTTATTCCAACTTCACAAATAACTTTTTCTCAACAAAAAGTGTGTTTGCATGTGTGTGCGCACACGCGTTGGGGAGGGGAGATGTATATGCCCACTTCAGTGAACAAAAATCAGGAACGTAGTTCCGTTCCCCTTCCCCGCTGTTCTGTCTCCCTCTCCTCTCCACGTTCCTCTTCTCCTCACTTCTCTGCATCTTTCCTTCTCACCACCCCTCTTCCACTTCTTCCCTCCCCTACTTCCTTGTCTTTCTATTTTCCCCTTTCTCCACAGTGGAAAATGTAGGCACTTAAAAACTTAAATGAGAACTCTGTGGGTCTGTCATTATTAAAGGAAAAAGACATATTGCCCCCAGAACCAATAGGACAGTTCTCTCTGGCTCTCACTTAAACTAATTCCTTTAAAAATTTTCCTTCTTACTTTGAAAAACGAGATGGTATGTAGTAAAAATAAAGTCACTTACAGTGTCAGATAAAGGAGACTTGCATGCAGTAGCCAAGCACTGCTAACCACATCCATTGTTTTCATTTCGTGCCCTTATTTTTCCGCACTTCTTGTTCTACTGCACTTTATCAGTGCCATAAAATATTGAAGCTCAGCACATGTTGGCACGAAGTGGATGCACAATCAATGTTTGCTGAATGTATTTTTGTCTTAATTGATATAATTAAATATTAATTACATATAATTTCTAATTGTTATGCCTTTTCTGTAAGCTCATATGTAGACTTGTAGCTTTACCTTTTTAGAAACTGTATCAGAAGCTATTAATAACAATTCAATAGTTTATTGAATACATCTACCTATATCACAGTGGCAAGTGCATGGTCTAACCTATATGCACTGTTATAATGAAATGCTTTTGTGCTCTTCCAAGACTAGTTTTGCTTTACCTAATGAGGAAACTGAGGTTCAGAAACACTTTTTTCAGCGTTACATAGTAAGTGGTAAAGCTGATATTTGTACCCAGAACTGATCCCAAAGTCCATACACTTTATGCAGGACCTTACTATCTCTTGGATTATTTTTAAGTGTGGGTCTTAAACCCTGGCAAATTATTGCGAGTATTTCTAGTCTATGAGTGGTTTGATCTTTGTTCTATGTTCCTAGTGTGAATACTGTATGTCCCATAATATATATCTGATTTAACATTGAGTTAGAACTTTCAAGGATAAAAACTAAACTGGTATACACTTAAAAGCTAGATACTTTTATTTAGAATTCATATTAAATGCTGAGCTTTCCACATCTACATAACAACAATTTTTATTTTGTTTCCTGAGATTAGGAATTATGATTTATTTGACAAAAAATTGGAATATTTAGGCATTAAATTTATGTGGCATATACCTGTTAACCTATTCAGTGTGTGGACTCATTCCATAAGTAAATATTATTAATATTGTACCAGGTAGAAATCACCACTTACAAAATTGTGTTCTTATATTTTTAGGAACTAAAATAGAGGAAGAGCATAAAACAAAGTTGTGTTTAAATCCATTAGTTATTGTCTGTGTTCAAGTCCCCTATACAAAGAGTCAGTTAATTACATCCTCGCCAAGGGAATTTTAAAATAATTTGTCTAGCAATGTAATTTTAATGTATTAATTTAATATTTTCAACACCTTCCATGAAGATGTTTATAAAAGTTTCTTCTCGGTCTCTGATCTCATCACCACAGTAAATACAGCATAGCTAAGTTAAAATTGCATTAACTTAGGACTGACCCAACGTAACTGATCTTTGCTTTAGAAAAATATCTACATCAGAAATATTTTATTCTTAAGTAATTTATAGAGTTTTGTGTTTCTTCTTTAGAAAGTTCATATTTTAATAAAACGTAAGCATTTTATAAGCTTTTATTGAATTAGAATGATGTTTCCTTAAATTATAAGTATCAAATGAAATAATTGCTATTGTTAAGACAAATCACCAATAAGGATATAATTTCTAATTTTTATTTTTTCTTTTCCTCTTCCTCTATATTTTTTCCCTACTCTTTCCTTCCTTTTCTGTCTTCTTTCTCAGATTTTCATAAATCCTAACCCATACATCTCCCTTTCTTCCTGCTTGGTTTATGTCCTCTGAGTGGATTTTTAGCTAGGACTCAGAAAAGTTTGTGGCTCAGAACTTTTCCTTTCAGGGCATGGTGATATTTTCCAGCTTCAGGGCATCTGACATAAGCAGACACTTCCAATGACTTTATTAGACTTCTGATAGGGTATCGTTCCCACCAGTCAGTATCTTGCCCTACTCAAGGAGGTTGACTGATATACATCAGATGACTGATGTACACACACACACATGTGCTCTTTGCGAATCTGTTTTGCTCTCCTCATACCCTGCACTTAGCATGACACAGTGCCTGCACTTGGTAGGTATTACATAAATTAATCTAATAACATGTCTTTGTTCTTATGCCTGGTGGTCATTCATTTACCAATTGATATTTGTTCCCTTCCAGATTGAGGTTTTGACAAAATCATCCTTCAAACTATTATGACTGAATTGATTACGTTCACTGATAGCCATTGGTACTTAGCTTTCATGATTCTTAATAGAAAGCAGGTATAGTGAAAACACCACAGGTTCAGAAGAAGACAGACCTAACTTGAGATGAACCCAACTCAGCTCCCTTAATAGGCCACTGAGTTTAACCTGCATGCTTCGCTTTCCTCAGGTTAAAAAAGGTCTGATGCTGTCTACTTCCCATAGTGTTTAGTGATGATGTGCATAAAATGCCTATCTCAAGTAAATGTCCAGTAAAGGGTAGCTGTAATTAGTTACATCTTCTTATATTTTATTACATAAATATAAGTATACCACGCTTTCATTAGCATACTTACTATCTGTATGATCGCTATGCTCTAAGTATTAGAAAAGGGAACTCACTGCCCACAGGAAATGATCTCCAGCCTTTCTCAAATGATTCCGAGGAAGAACTAAGTCCTAATGCCTTAAAACATTTATTGTATGCAATTAATTAACTTCAAATTGTTTTCTTTGTTCTGTGGTTCAGATGAGGAACCCTAGAGGAAAAGATACAATAGAAAATAGAACAGAGAACGTTCAAAATAAATGTAGAATTCATAGAACGTGGTAAAGATTCAGGCCCTTAGAGAGGTGCACCTGAAAATGCAGAACAGGGTGCGTGTCTCTTGTTCATTGCTGTGTCTCCAAGTTCAGCATGAGCCTGGCACAGAGTAGGTGCTAGTAAATATTTATTGAATTATTGAAATGGATGAACAAGTATCAATGGCAGGTGGCTAGAGAAGACTAAATACTTTTCTGGAGACTGTTCACCTAAGCAGTTAGAAGGACCATTTTTGAAAACAGCTCCTTGCTACCTCTGTGTGTTGGTGTTCATAGATGTACATCTGCTCGTGTCCATCTGTTGGAGTCTTTTTTCAGGCACTATATGTCTGATCACAATCCTTGTACCTTAAGCCATATGTTGACGAATGATGTAACACATAAGGGTAATAACTATAACAGAAGTAGCAGTTCACAGTGCCAGGCTGTGTGCTGAGTGCTTTCCTTGCATCAGGCCTTACAACACCCTGTGATCATAGAGGAGACAGCGCGGCTCCGTGGAAGAGCCCAGATAGAAACCAGGCAGTCGAACCGCGGAGCCCGTTCCTCCAGCTCCTTGCCGTGCAGCCTCCCTTCGCTGCGAGGATGAAGAAAGGACTAAGTCGGCCATTCCATGCACCTACTCTGTGTTATTCTTAGAGTAACCTGTAGGACCAAACAGCCAGGGACCTTTTTCAGAGGGAAATTTGTAGCGAACCGCGTGTTGCTTCTCAGTGAGCAGCTTCTCTGCCTTCTGAGACGTGATGAGGACAGTCCTCCAATTTAGCATTTGAAACCACACTTCCTCCACTGAAGACAATCTTAGAAGGAACACGCCTTCTTTTTTATCAGATCACCCATTAATCATTGTTTTACTCCCTAAGATAATAGAATTGAGAAACTGAAAGGTACTGGGCTCCAGGGACTTCTGGGGAGGGGAAACACTGCCCCCGGGAGAATTAGCATGGTGAACACCAGCACTTGATTCCTCACGCCGTTCTGGTCCACAAAAGACCCTCAGAGAGTGTCTGTGCAGCGAGCGGCTGGGTACATGGCGGGTAGTTGAATGGACAGGCGAGGTAAAAAAATTGGCAGAGGCCAGCCCCAGACGGGGCCGTCAGTCACTGTGTGCGGCGCACTAACTGCGCGGACGCAATCCCGGCCCTGTTGACTTAGATCTGTGCGGATTTTTAAAGCTATTGTGTTGAAAACATCTATTTTGATTGGACTATTTGAGTAATCTTTTTGTAACTTAATTCTATGTTGAGACTATCATAGATTTTGTGACCTCTGGTGGTTAAAGAATATGTATGAAATTTTGTCTCGTTTTTGTATTTAAAAAGGTTTCGATACCATGACTACAGAAAATTTGGAAAATGTTTTAAATGAGTAATTGTGTAATTATGCTTCCCTAATACAAATACTAATATTTTGTCATCGTTTTGCTGTTTTTCCACATGGATGGAAAAGTATTTTGAATATTTAAGATCATATCTGCTAAATTATCTTTATAATGTAAATTGCCTTTTATGACAAGAGAGGTAGAAAGGAGATGCTTCAGCTCTCTCTTGCTCTGCTGGTGCTATACTGCCTTTGTGTGCTGTAAGTGTTAGGAGACAGGGACCCGAAATTATTTCAGAGAAACAATAGCTAATAAGAGGTAATCAAATGGAGTATTTCTTTGGTATAAAACAAAGTTCCTTATAGATTTAAGTGCATTAACTTCAATAATCAGATTTGATGGCATGGTTTTCTCATTAAACTGTGAACTATCACAGTTAAGGCCAATGGTGTGTTACCAGTCTCATCACTGTAAGGGTTTGGGGGAGGGGAATTTAGTACCAAAAAATTACTTTTTCTTTAAAAACTCATGTTTTTTCTGTTATAAGATAACGTAAGTTATAATAGATAATAGAAAAACATGAGTTTTTATCCTTTAATAAAAAAATACATTTCTTTTTCTTGCCTGCTAAAAAGTACACATCTAAATTTTAATTCTTAAACATAATAATCATATTAGTCTATGCAATTAGTATCTTTGCTTCTGCCTTCATATAGGTTTGATTTTCCATTTTTAGTTTAACAATCTTATTGCTGTTTCTTTAACCTTTTCATATACTTCCCTATAATTAGGGTGTAAATTATAAATAAAATAAAGTAGATCTGCAGTTTGGATGTACACACGGCTTTATCTTAAATGCGTGGAAGTTTTATGTACAGAAAGAGCCTCCAGAATTAGTTTTGCTAGCATCTTCTACAAGTAGTTCATAGTCTAGTTGAAGAAAAGAACACTTACTCTTTTTCCATTGTCTGTGAAATACTTTTATCAGATGCAGTAATTAATAACCCTTATTTTGGAGTAGAGCATCATAGAGCATCTCTGAAACCCTGATGAGAGTTACAGACCCTCCACTGAGAAAAACGTCACACATGAATACACGCACATACTGTTGTAAGCAGGGCAGGAGTCCACAGCTCCTTTGGACACCAGGTTTAGAGCTGTTGTTCTAGAGAGTGAGAAAGGAGTTAACATTATTGACTGTAAATTATGTACCCTGTTTGAACCCAGGAGTTCCGACTGTATCCAGAGTTATTTCCACTGCCTCATACTGCCTCCCAGTCAACCATTAATCACCATGACTTCTCCCTTTCTGCCCAGGTTATACCAGATCTTCTAAATACTGTGTTCTTTAGTAGTAGTACTCCTTGGTTAAATTTCCATCTGAAGTTTCTTAAGATAGTGGCTAATATGTGGTAAAGTCTTTACCATGACCCAGTGTCAGTATTAATTAAATTGAAAATGAGATAAAACTCAACGAAAACATGCATTTCTTTGAATTTAATATCTTCAGTGGTAATTTTTATATGTTTGACTTTGAATTATAAATCTACTTGGATCCTAGATAACTTTTCGTCCTCATGGACATAATGCATGACTGAACCTTGAGCATACTTGTAGGATGAGGAGAAATAGAAAAATAAGGGTGACTTATTAATGATCTATAGAAATCCCATCCTTAATGAACTCAAGCAATCTGTTAAAAATGTGATATTGAATGACAGCCTGCTATCACAAGGGAACTGCTTGACGACTAGAATTGTGAGACGTAAAATTTCTAGCCTCATATATTTATCTAAAGTTGAGCACAGTTACGTATTACTGGATAAAGGCACGTTCCTCTTGGGGCGGTGTCCGGGCCTCTGTCCACAAGGGCATGACAGGTATGGGCTTCCAGGCACATAAAGAGGGTGAGTAATCTGAGGACATGGCATGCTGAGTGTGTTCTTTCTCTTTACTAGGCATTTGGGCCTGGATCTGGTACCTCGAAAGGACTTTGAAGTAGTGGATTCAGACCAGATTAGTGTCTCAGATCTCTATAAAATGGTAAGAAATCTAACACAGGGTATTTTGTTCCTGCACACCTCTTTTTTTCTCCTTTGTTTATTTTTTCTAATTATGTTATGAAACAGTGTTGTTAAAATTGTTCATTTATCTTTGTTCCGGTATATTTAAGGGGGCTTCCATATTTGGACAGGACATATCACACTTGCTTTTCTAAATAGAATTACTGTACAGAGTTTTTGGGCTTCCTGTAATGTCTATGGGACATTTCTCTGTTGATTTTGCTGGTGAACAGAGCTCCTTCAGCCTGCAGCAGTTACTAAAATTCTAGCTCTTTCCACCTCTTAAGGAGAGAAGATAGTTGAAACTGAAAAGAGCCAATTATTGGTTAATGTAGTGATTAAACCTAGAAATAATCTATCAGTATTTATAAGAAATAAATCCTGATAAATCCTTAGCTGTCTATTGGTTGTTATAAAAATGTATTGAGTTGACTGATGACCAAGGTTACATTTTATTGTCTGAATGAGACGTAACTGAAAGAAAGGTACAAAATTTTAAAGTAAAACATATAAACATCAGAAACCGCAGGTAAGTATTAAGTTTAAACTAAAGAACTGGGCAAAACGTCACTTTGAGGAGTATATATTCAAAGAGTATATATTGGTGAGAATTGCAAGTTTTAGAATTAGTCTAAAATTTCTTTTTATTTACTTACTTATTTTTATTTAAATTAAATTTATTGGGGTGATATTGGTTAATAAAATTATATAGGTTTTAAGCATACAGTTCAATACTACATCATCTGTATATTGCATTGTGTGTTCATGACCAAAGTCAAATCTCCCGTCACCATATATTTAATCCCCTTTACTCTTATCTGCCTCCCTGCCTCCCCTTTCCCGCTGGTAACCACCAAACTATTTTCTTTCTGTGTCTATCGGGTTTTGTAGTTTCTCTTTTTAACAAATG